TGCATATGGTTTTTTTCGCAAGCGCTTGTACAAACACTGAGCATACAGTATTGTGAATAAATGTCGATGTACGGGCAAGACCAGCTAATAACAAATACACATGGCCTATTATGATTATCAAAATAACATACCTCTCTATTGTCTCCTTCATGGACGATGCATCTGTCCTGTACGCCGTTTAGTGCCAGGTTCTTCTTCAGTGCGGTCACGGCATTTGGGTTCCACTCACAGGCGTGGACTAAGGAAGCCTTGGCGTGGACCAAATATGGCAGGGTGAAATATCCAATTCCTGTGGACCAGGTGATAATGAAAATGTGATATTTTCATTTTTATACATTTCTTTTATGCAGGAAGTTAGCTTCGTAATGTGTGACCTATCATGACAAAGATATTCTGCTGATGTTTTTGTGTGTCCTTGCAAATGGATTGAGGAATTTGTAGTCACTAAAGCTGCCCTCGTTTCTGAACAGTTGTCAAATCAGCATTCCCTTTAGAGAGGTCTCAGTGATTATGCCTACTTATAGACCCCAGGCAGGTAGACAAATGTCTCTGATGACAGGAGGCAAGTTTGATCAAAGACTATGGTTAACCATATTTCGACTACATCGAAGGCAGGCTAGTCAACTGTGGTTGGACTAGTCTGGTCAACTATTTGCGACCAGCCTATCGAGGTTGGTTGCATCGTTGGTTGCCATAAACTGCTTTTAACAGCACAGAACAGAGAAGACCAGTGATAAGAAATGCCGCAAAATAGTATGTCACTAGTAAACAAACATTTTCACTTTTATTTTGCTAATTTGTCCTTCCAGCGGCCACCTTTTCTCCCCTTTGGCCTAATAACCTGACAACGGTTGACCAGGATTGTTCGCACTTCAACTTCACTGCACACATGCTATGTACATCACCAACCAACCACTAGTCAACTAGTGGTCCTTGATTGAATCTTGCCCAGGAGTCTTTGGAAGAACAACTTCTAATTCAGCTATTCTTTCATAGATGCTGGAATCCCTCTTGCCTTGTATCATCTATATTTAGAGGATGCATTGAGAGTTCAACTTTCACCAACCAGCATACAGGTCGACCACTGTTTCCCCCTTGCAGTGCAGTCCCGCCACTCTGATTTTCTCAGTGATGTTTCCGATCGAGAACATGCAGTGTCTCACGTCGTATGTGTATCTTGTGGGGGAAAAAAAATATGATTAGTGCACCGTTCCCTAGACGTCCCTCATATCGTGTACCAATCATGTCGTGTTAAATTCTGCTTCCTACCCTGAGACACAAAACACACCACAGTGCTACCACTTTGCCATCGATTGGGGGGGGGGCTGGAGGATCATCCATTCCCCTCCCTTTTTTTTATTCGTTGTTGCTGAGGAATAAAAAAAGTAGGCTTAAATTTGATTCTCCAGCTCATAACTGCTCATTAAATGGCGCTTAACTTTACAACAGTGTCCAAAAATGCATGAAGAACTGGGCAAATCAGTCAAAAATTGCCCCAGGTTACATCACAGAGCACCTGGAATCCAAAATCCCCAGACCCCCCACCTTTAAGGGCCTTGTAATCACACCTTGCATTAGCTTTGCTCTAAGTAATATGTCCCTTCCCCCCCTCCCATTTTCAGCAGTAAATGTCCTTTCCACCTGGTACAAAAATGAACCATTAAACAAGAGTTACTTTAGTCTATTTCGTAAGTGAGAAAAAAAACCTGCAAAACATTGCGAGTCTCCTACCTGAGGCCATTGTCTCTGTGCTCCACCCACCCATGGTTGCCTAGCAACAGCTCCACCCTTGGACTTCTAAATTCGTCCTGCCTGACGCGACCTTTCCTCGCAACCCTTTGGCCTCCCAGAGCCGTGGCTACTTCTTGCCAGAGGTTGGGGCATCGTTCCCATTTAAAGGAACACAAACTTGACTGTTGATATTAAACAAGCAACCAAAAGAAATTTGAGAGGGATGCCTCAATAGACGTACGTTATAAGAGTTGAATAATGAAGATGTCTCAGCACTCAAGTTAAGCAAATTGAGCACTTCACAAAGCAATATATCCTTAGGAATATTGAATTGGGAACTGACAATTTTTTTTTTACTACGGTACATGACTTGGCAACTTTACTCCTTTTGCTGACATTTCTACCAGGATTCTAGTAAACTTAAGAATTGAAGTCTAATTCCTGGTGTTTAATGCCCAACAGAGAACACTTTTTTAAAGCAAAAAGCACCTAAATAAAGTTTCTGGTCTTGTGGCTGGATGGAATTTTAAATTTTCATCTGTAATTGCCCCTTTTATGTTTCCAATCTACCCTGTTGTGACCTTCCCATTAAAATTCAGCCCATCTTTTATTGAAATATTAAAAAACGCATTTTCTGAGCCTCTGTTTTCACAGAAAATACCAGCTAGAATCTTAAAAGTAAACCTCAGAGCCCTTTGCCACTCTACTCTGCAAAAAATGAACTTGAGCACTGAGGCAGACCTTTCAGCCTTTTTTTTTCCTACAGCTAATGGGAACTCATTTTTTAGCTGGCCTGATGTTCATACCCGAGGAAGTAAAATTAGATCTTCGTGCTTCTCCCACCCATCTGGAATCTCTTCCTGCACCTCTTCTGGAAAGGGAATGTCCAACTCCTCAAACTTTGCCCTCAGTGCATTGACCAGTCTTTGATGTGGAGAGACTGCAAGCTGTTTTTTTGATGTGGGGAGGTAGACAGACACAAGATGGCATGGAAGATCATGATAACGCCCTGATGCCAAGATCTTACTGTGGTATTCGAACAGCTCAGCTTCCTTCAGAGTTTCTTGGGGAATACAAATAACAAGTATGGATAATTGGTGCCTTAAACTTAGAGGAAATAACCACATGCTGCCTGGTGTATTTAAAAATGCAGTGCACACATACAGGCAGTTTTCAAGATTTTCAGTTTTCAAAATTCCTCAAAAATTCATAATTTCATTTAATGGATGTTTACACCCACACAAATGACTCTTTGATCTTTAAGCTGACAGGAAACCTTCATTGACTCCTGAATATTTCAGCCAGGCCTGCCACCCTGTAAGGAGAGCCCAGAATTGTGAGGTGTAGTTGTGTAATTAATTGTGTTATGTAATTTCCATTTTCCCCAGTGAATGCAAGTGGTGTTTTTCCAAATGCAGCTGGATAAGCCTGTAGCAGTGCTGTGTCGCTCATCAATGAGGCCCTGGAGCACTTTTGTCTGCAGTACTAGTCCGCAGGCGCAATATGCCCAAAACAGTGGTATACTGTTTAAAAACAGTGACGGATTACCTTCAAAAAATGCAAGCCGAAAAATGATGGCAATTCCCACCAGCAGGTCTTTTGTTTTGGGTACGGTCTTTTGTTACACGGATCAGCTCTTTTGTCCCATTTCACGCACCCTGGCTCTGCGTATAAACCCATGGTACTCGAAATGGGGTTCCCCGGCAGCAAGCGTTTAAATCATTTCAGGATGCTCACTTATGAATACATGTACATGTTCATTGTACATCATGGAGAGTACTGCTGGCTTAAGGCTGTTCCTGTTCCGGGGCTTTAAGATGAGGTAGCCTCCTAGCATTCCTAATAAGTCCAAATGAAATGGTGCCGCCTTTCTGACTTCTGCAATGCTCCCTCCATACAATGAACAGCCAATCCTGAAGTTCTGAACTGGTATAAGCTTGATTGAGTCATAAATAAATCTGCATAAATATACATTAGCCCACCTCTTCAATCTATTGCATGTCAGTTCTCAAACCTCACATTTTGCCTTTTCCTGGACTCCATCCCTATTATTGGAGCACTCTGTATAGTGACTGGGTGCACTTATGTGACCTTCCACCACAAAATGAGCCGCAAGCCAGAATTTTCAAAAAATTCAAAATAATTTTTGAAAATATTGGTATTTAAATTAAGCAGAAAAAGAGCCTTCTAGTGGTATGTACATGGAACACTTGGGGTAAAAGAATAAGTTCACAAAGTGACATTATTCTGGCAGCTTTGCATCTTTGTTCACAACATTGTTGCAACATTCCAGACCAGGCACGAATAATGTTATTGTCAAAATTGCTGAGAAAATGACATTTTCAAATATATATCCTGCCAAATATTTGGAATTAAATAGGAGACGGGCTACTCTTTTCCAAATGCATGTGTTTCAAACCCAACACTGACCTCCATTTCAATATGATTTTGAACCCTCAAGATTGGACAGAGTAGGATGAGACTTTACTCTTATTTAGTTGTGACGGACGGGTCACATACATGTATAAGGACCACTGCCAGGTCTACCAATGTACTGTTAGAACCATATGCCGCATGTGAAAAGACTTATAACTCTGGCTTTCAATTTTGGCTTGTCATAAACCGTGGTACGTAGAAAACCAGCCGCGAGCCTAGCCATCTACTATCGTGAAGCTGGAGCCTGCATCCTGAGTCTGCAGATTATTTAACCCTGACCTGAACTGACCTCTCTCAATGGCAGATGAGACGCTTCCACTCACAGGAATAGCAATGACATTCCTGTTGAGCCTCTGTAGCCGTCTACGGGAATCCCAGAACCCGTCCACTTCCAGATAATGTCTGTCAGTAAAGATTGGCAAAAATGCAACCACAGAATTTCTTTCTCCCCTTGGGACTTTACAAACATTACAATTCACCTTTGAAACTAAGGTATCTGGGCATGGTCGGGCAATAATGCATTAAATAATATAATTCTGTCCAAAGATTTGCCAAATGTTCAAAAGCTGACTGAAGGAAAATAGCCTGATCTAAACTTCTCCTGTAAATATCTCGGCTATTTGAGGCGTTAAAAATAAGTCCAAAATTTTAAATTGAAAACAGCAAATACAAGTGATGTACCTCATTTTCTGGGCGTTTTCCGTGAGAACAACAATTACCGTGTCATTCTCTCGATCCATGGAGGCCGCCATCTTGCGCATATTGCGCAATGAGACGAGCTCATTCGCAGAGTTAATTCGTCAACTGAGGTTAATATAATACATCGGCTGGGCGTTGTTCCGTGCACGAGGTAGTTTGGTCAGCATCCTAAGCGACATTGTTCAATCATGAAGGCAATACTGGACAGGGTATCCGTCTAGCTCTCAGAGGTGAGAGTTGAGTGACCTCATCATTAACTGTACCTCCAGCGTGTACTTGGGCACCTGCGATCGTTACCCATACCACACCCAGTGGTTTTTGTTACCCCCAATCGAATGGTTATTTTTTGGTCAAGTTCATGGTGGGCCTCTAGTTACGAGAGCATTTAATTGAGCCAAATCCAGTCTCTACAGTGTCTCTCCTCGAGTACCGTATGATTTGCTCGCCCGTGGGTATAATTTCTTCCATTTCCCCAAATTAAACTAAATTAAGTTTTTGAATGGTAATATGTTTTACAGTCTACTTCCAACAATATCTTAGTCTAAACATGGAGGAAGGAGGGTCTAAATTATGACAAGAAAAAATCTGGCTGGTATAACCAATCATATATTTGTGAAACCTTTCATCGATCGTCCATTTTTCCCTTTCCTTTCATATTTGCAATGGACGCTAAGAAAATGCCAGAAAAAAAGATAGGATGTTGGACTGTTGACGGTTGTTGAACGCCAGCATTTGATTATACGAAGTAGCACGCTTCCAATGAAATATCGCTTCAAATGTTGCAGCCAAGCCGTGAAAGACTATTGGTAGTACAAGTCGGACATACTGAGTGTTTGAAACCATGGAGGAAAAAGACAAACAAACTATTGAAATGTTGTAGTCATAAAAAAAAAACCTGTTAGGCTGTCACTTGCATACTCTTCCAGTTTATTGACGAAAATGAGTTGTCATTGGCTGAAACTTTCGTTGAGAAAGGGGGAATAGAAACCGTCAAATTGCCCCAAGGTTGGTCACGTGATGTAAACTCTAGCCGGCCTCCTCGCCGACATATTGCGTGTAAATTTTTCACGTCACATAGGACCTGTACGCCTATGTTTGGACACGGGTCAGTGACTCGGGGTGAGTAATTCTCTTCGAAAAAGCTTTCCCAAAATTTACTGTTAACGCCCCACGACCTACGCAATAAGTGTGTCACCGGACTGACAAGAAGTCCTTCTCTCACCCAGGCGAGTTTTGGAGGGTGACACGGTAACTTTTGTGGCGAAAACTGAGACGAAATTTCGAGCATGAGTTCGAAAAGTGGCAAGAAGCGGTCGTCGAAGAGCCAGCCGGACCCCCCGGGCAGACCGCGGCTATGTCGGATGGTAAAGGGATCAGGTGGCTATGGATTCAATCTTCACAGCAAACAGGGGCAACATGGCCAGTACATACGGGGCATAGATCCTGGTAAGATTACAGTTTTCGTAATCGTAATACAGACAGTAGTCACTGTGTTTCTATGAATCCACTAGCCTAGAAATGGATGGAAGCCCCAGGTGCATCTTGCACGTGTTGAACATGTTGAAATCAAACTGCGTTAAACTAAAGTTGTTTAACATGTTAAGCAGCTGATTAAATCGCGAACCATTAAATCAGGATACTCGGGGGTTACTCCTCGTGGGACTTTTTTTTATGGCATGTGTTGGAAGGTAGGCCTAGGCCTACTTTAAATATGAGCCCCGAGCTGGACCAAGAAAGGGCATAATTTTCCGAGCAATGTTTTTTTTTTTTTTTTTGGTAAGAACTGCAGTTGTATACGAATCAGCTGATTACTGGTTCACTAACCATTATTCATACACGTAAATACCTGGGACAGGTTTTCTATTCCTATTGGTCGAAACGGAATAATTGCAGAATACCCCACCACGCGAAAACACCCCCAAAAAATCCATGGCTACTTAGTCACGTGGAGGTTGTTCGGCTTGGGGTTATCCTTGCTGCGTCAAGGTACGCGTTGTGTACAGCATTGAAGTCATTCTTGAGAACGAAGCACTGCAACACAAAATGAATGGGGATGGCGGAAGAATTTTCCCAAGTCCAATGTGGGTCCCGGGGAGCAGATATGGGGATACGATGTGGGCCTTGTGTCCTGCAACGCAAAGTGGATGAGGAAGGCGGAAGAATTTTCCTAAGTCCAATGTGGGTCGTGTGGATGCAAACGTGACTCCGTAACTGCGTATCCATGGCTACGAGGTGGGCAAGGTGAGTGGCGGGTATTCTGCAATTGTGCCGTCGAAACGTGTCACGTGACCGCATATTAACATTTCATAATTGCTCGCTGAGAAGTGATAATGCTCATGGTATAAATCGCGCACTGGCACATGGATATTACGAGACAGTTTAATCAGATCTGATTTGTCAGGAGTTTGTGTGTACATGCCATGTGCTCGTTAAGGTTACTGAGGGGGATTCTATTGGATAACTTTCAAAAGGAATACCGGAAAACCATAAAATGGAACGGGGTGTTGAGGAACATGAAAGTAAAATTTCGGAACAAAATTGTTGGAAATCCATCACATGTTGACTTCTTTTGACTCTGAATAAAACTAGCATTTACATGTAAGACCTTGCTCAGGAGAGCGAACACTGATAATGCCCTTGCATGTAGCTCGAGTATTCCATTCTACTGAGCCGGTCTTAAATGCACGTTTAAGACCGGCCAAGCACATAAGTGCATTTTTATAAGGGAATAAATACATGTATTAACATTATGTCGTTTTCCTGACCAATATGGCTCTTTACAACTGAGGAGGGGGTGCTCCTGCTTAAGGCGGATAGCAATTTTCAACACAGGACACTGTCATCATGGTCATAATTAAATCCTGCTGGGCCTAATTGTCATAAAGCACAAATTCTGAAGGTCCCAATTGATAACAGTTGGCTCAAGCCTATCCCTTTCTCCTGTTTCTTTATTTTTCCGGTCCTCTTTAACAGTTTGCAGAATGATATCTGTCCTATGTCTTTGACCAAGGGTACGGATGAAATCCACTGTTTATCTTGGCACCAGAATAAGGCTGTTCAGTATGGAATGCCAAAGAGGCAAAAACTTGGAGGCAACACATCGATCGTTCCTCAACATCGATCAATCATTTCCCTACATCGATCGATCGTTCCCCTACATCGATCAATCATTCTTCTACATCAATTGATCGATCCCTTTTGATTGATGAAGGAAGAGCGATAAAAAAAGAACAATGATAATAGTGGGATAAAGAAAGACCGATGAAGTTATATCGATGCCAATATTACGCAACCTCTTCCAGTACCAAATAAAGCACATGTTCCCTGTAACCATAGCCCACCAGCACTCAAGGCCACCCATGTTTATTACCTGTCGGTCTGGTAGGCCCTATACAAGAATATCATTTCCATTTTCCCCAGGATGGGATGCCAGTTCATTAAGGGTGGCTCCATAACCACTGTGGGCACCATACTACAAAATCCTTTGTCTTCTCTAAACAACCAGGACAATAGTCTTTTATGATCAATGAAACGGTCGAGATTATGCTCTCTTTGTTGTGCTTAACAATATGCATATTTTATTTGTTATTTTCGACATCATTGGGTGTTAGCTTGGGGTCTCAGGGATCAGGAATGAAAATACTAAACTGTGCATAATACAATTTACTGGACTTACTGCGACTCATCCACCATTGATATAGTGGGAGGCGATTGAAACAAGGTGACAAATTAGATTGAGAAATTTTAAATTCAGAAGGAAATAGTGTTCATCAGTATGTTGGAAGTGCATAGCTACATAAGTAGGTCAAATGAATGACAAAATAGTTCCACTGGTTCTACCGGGATGTTATTGTGTGGAAAATAAAATTCGGGCCATGAGGAATAAGAATGGGTGCCCACCGTGGCTAGGGAGTGACCCTTAACGAACTGGCATCCCATCCAGGGGGAAATGGAAATGATATTCTTGTATGGGGCCTACCAGACATATGGGTAATGAACATGGGTGGCCTTGAGTGCTGGTGGGCTATGGTTACAGGGAACACGTTCATTATTTGGTACTGGAAGGGATTGCATAACGTTGGCATTGATGTAACTTCATTGGTCTTTCTTCATCGAACTTTTGTCATCGCTCTTTTTCCATCGCTCTTTCTTCATCAATTAAGAGAGATCAGTCGATTGATGTAGAAGAGCAATTGATCAATGTAGGGGAACGTTTGACCGATGTAGGGGAACAATCTATCGATGTTGAGGAATGTTGAGGAACGATCGATGTGTTGCCTCCAAGTTTTTGCCTCTTTGGCATTCCATAGTTCAGTACAGTCTTGGCTCTTGCGCAAATTCCATCCTGAGTCAATTATCCTATGAATGGATTTTATTCCAAGGTAGATAAACTTGGAAGGAGTTCAATAAATTTGTTCAAGATCGCGCTGAACAATGGCAAAAACATGTACATGTAACCAATAAAGAGCCTGAGAGATCCCAAATGGTGCCATTTTCTAAATAATAAAAAAATTATTGTAGATCATTGACAGTCATGCACGATACTCAAACAACAGATATACTGGTACATGTATCTCTGTTACAGTGAATATGACAATCCCAGTTCTCCCTCAGAGACCGCTGGACATGTGTTTAAGTGACATCACATTTCCTTGTAAAATTGCTCTGTATAACTCAGAAAAAGAGACGTAAAGTTAACATCCCAGGCTACCTACTGGTACAGGAATGAACCCCATGGTTGTGGATCACTTTCCACAGCTCTGGATCATGCACATTGCACTGTCTTGTGCCAGCCTGTGTACATCTGATTTTAAGTTGATCGCAGCACAGTATGATTGGGAGACCAGTTCAAGTACCGGTAACTACTACCGGGTAGCTGTTACAAAACTACAAGGAAACTTGTCGAAGTTCACTGCTGTGCCAAGGAGGAAGACCATGAGCCATCATCATTCCTCCCAAATCCTCTGACTGGTTGTGCAGTATATTGGAGGACCGAGGCCGTACAGCAGAAATGTGTGGCTGATTTTGAAGGGTGCATCAAGGGCAGGCCTTGAGCCAACGTTGTGTTGTTTAAATGCTCAGTGAAGCGTAAATTTAAACCTGGATGATGCTTCAAATCGTCCACATTGCTTCAGAACATGCAGGATATCATTTGCACCATGTGCTGACAGCGGTTGTCTTTGAAGGAACACTTTCGAGAAATTACTTTGGGGGACCACGTAGATCCAGTTCTAGAAACTGTTGGAGAATGTGAAGGAGTTACGATGTATAGGATCAAAGCATTCCAGGAAAAACAAGGCCTTTTAGGCTCAAACTCCCTGGAGACGCTCAATAAGTGTGTGCACCTACATGTACGGTACATGTACATTGTATACCATGGTGTATGCTGTATTCTGATAATGCGAGGCGGCGGTATCAAGGGGCGATATTTGGATGCTTCAACAATTCTAATCAGTAACTGTAAAGTTAAAGTAAATGAAGCACCGGGTAAGACTTGGGCTCTGATATTCTTGCAAAATATTTTTCAAGTACATGTACTGGGACATGGAACTGGGTAAAGACATCCAGGTCCGGGGGATGCGGTGAACAAAACATGCGCGAGAATTTTTCACACCCCTAAATAAAATCTGAATCTCACACGTGCAGTTTCTTTCAAAATGCCCAGATACATGTATCCCCGCAGAGAAGGTAAATCGATGAAACTTCAGTTGCATACTGCAGCACTTACATGTACTACTAGTACATGTACATGATGTATCATTTGATCAGTCCCATCTCAGGCCTCACACTGGGAGTTGGTGTCCGATCAAGTGTGCTACATACATGTATGTTTACTCTTCAGCCAGGCTGCCCTTGAGGGTTTATTGCCCGTAATTAAATCAGTCCTTCAATGGTGTGAGAACCAGGCAGGTCATCTTCGAGGCAGGTCATCTTCGGGCAGGTCATCTTCGAGGCAGGTCATCTTCGAGGCAGGTCATCTTCGGGCACTGTACCTACATGTGCAGGCTCACATCTTTTCATGACCAGTTTTTCGTAACAGTACATTGTCCAAATTGAGGATAGGAGGTTTACCATTTAAAATTGTCACATTTTACATCTAAAGTACATCATTGGTGGAGAAAAAAGGAAAAAGATTGCATGTTACTGAATGCACATGACTTGTGGAATGGGACCTTTGGGTCTAATACATCTTGTGTACCTGTACCTCTGTGCATATGTTTTATGTACTGTACATGTACCTCAGTATGTACATGTACATGTACTTATAGTGCACTGTATGCAGCATACAGTGCATTGCACTATTCAGTGGTTGAGTGGATCAACTAATTACACTCCCACAGTAGCATTAGGGGCTCAAGTTATAGCCTATTTAGAAAACAGCTGAGCAGTATGACATACTGATGCATTACAGTGTATGTATTTAGCACTCTGAAACCCTTGATGCT